CTTAGAACTCCTAAACCCTAACTATATACTCTAGGATTTTGTAGAGGCCTAATAGTAAATATAGTACTAAAGGGCTATAACTCAGATTTTTTAACAGTCACTTTTGATTCAATAGACACTGTAGGATTAGAAGTAAATAAAGTAAGAAAAGTAGAAAAAGTAGAAAAAGTAAATTAACAAAATTATTTATTAAAAAGAAAAAAGTTGAAAATAAAAGTAGATAGTTGTCTTATTTCTTCTGATTCTTTTGATTCTTCTCTTTACACTTTATCCAAGTCTAAATCTACACAATCCAACCTACTACTTCTACATTCTAAGAACTTAGAATGTTTGGAACACTACCTAGCCTTGTTTACTACTTAGTAGTTTGTCTATAGTATTAAGTAGGAATAGTCTTAACTAAGTTTACAGTTGAGAACATAAGTCTGTCCTTGTCAAAAGAGAGAGGTTAATAAGGAAATGTTAGTGTATATACTTACATCGGGAAAAAGTCTAAAAGGTTATATTACATTATAATGGTGTGAAAAAAGTAAAAAAGTAAAAAAAGTAATTTACATATTATCGGACCTCGATTTCTGATAAAGTAGTATAACGTTGTATAAGGTACTGTAAGGTTTATTAATGTAATAAAAGTACATAAGGGTAATACCCCTTTTAAACATATAAAATGCATAATATCGGACCTCCCTTTTTTGAAATGTATTGTAAGGATTACCAAGTTTTGAAAGGGTAATACATGTTTGTAATGTTTTACAGAGACTATACATAGTTATTATTTCTTAATAATAATAATTTTCCCTCACATCCATTCATTATTAAAATAACAAAAATCAATTATATTAAAATATTTGTACGATACATCATTATCTACAATAATTAAGAAAAATAAACTGAAACACATACATAGTGCAGCCTGCGTCAAGATTTGTGCAGAGAGCGAGTGAGAGTGTCCATGTCTGCTGTGATGCGAATACGAGTAGGTAGAGGTTGGGATCGGACCAGACTCGAGCGGCGAACGAGTGCATTACGGGTGTCGATTGCCAGGCCCATCCCTTGACCAGATCCAGACGGACCACCAGAAAGCGAGGGCATTGAGAGGCTCAACGGTTATGACTACGTCTGCAGTTGAACCCGTCCTTGCAAGCACCCCGCATCACCCATCTCAAAATCACCAAAGTCTGCCATCTCCACTTCGCGCATGCTACTGCACCTCGTGTGCGGATATCCGAACGGGCAGCCATACAGTGAACTATTGGCAGAGAGCGAGTCGAATTCGCTGTAGTCGTCAGAATCGGCGGTAGATGCTGATGAAGAGACACTCACAGTACTTGTAGTGTATGATGAGCTGCCTCCGCCTCGTTCTTTTCCCAACGGCATCTGCAATAGAAGAGGAAGAATGTGTTCTCGGGCCGTTTGATGTAGTCTTCAACACCACACTTTGGTCGTCGCTCGGTCCCTGCAAGTTGAATAGCGTGCGTGTGTGAATTGAGGTCGAGCAGGTTGTGGAGGCTGAGGCTGTGCCTGTGAGACGAGTTTAGAGTGATTAGCGAGTGATAATAAGAGAGAAAAGGTGGACGCACCGCGACAGCGTGCAGCGAGTGTGAGTGGTGCACCGAGGTTGGGATCCGGGGCGTTGAACAAGCTGATTTGAGCAGCAAGCGAAGCTGTGCCCGTACGTGCACATCACGTGCACCTTCAATTGCGAGACGTAGTCAGAGCAGAGAACTTAGTCGTTGTGTGTGATTGCAAAGGTGTATCTCTGGGACGTTCTGGCTCGAAGGGAGAGGGTGATGTGGGTGATGTGAACGGACTCGGCTCAGGAGGGGTAAGCGATGGCTACTGCTTACCTTATTCGAAATGGTGTCATGGACAGCACTGAGGAATGTAAATGTGCGTGGGGCAAACCTGTCAAGAGTGATGTCAAACATGGAATGTACGAAGGAGTAGAACACGTACAGCGTCGGGGAGAGGGTGGTACCATAGGAGTGGTCGTACATGAACATTGTTGCGAGTATGCTCGCGTGTGCTCGTCGATTCTTACTTGCACTGCAGAGTGGGAAGAAGTACACGAATGCATGGAGTTATTGGAGAAGTCGTTCGGCATTGGTCAACAATGCGGATGCGCGAATGTGAATTCAAAAAAGGAGACGAACGTAAAAAAGGAGTACAACGAAGGGGAGGCAACGCAAGCGGTGGGACGAGGAGCAGAAGGGATGGAAGGGAGACAAAAAGTTGGGAGGAGAGGGATGAGCAACTATTGTACAGTCTATTATGAAGTGGACTGGATGCTTACCGCTTTACATTGAAGGACGGTGTAGTCAGCTCAGTGGCACAACATATGATCTGAGGCTCTGTACAGGCACTGCAACAGTAGATTGGAGAGACGAGTTGCAGCAATGTTTATTGTCTGTGTTGTTGCACTTGGAGTACCCGCTGGAGGACGCTTGCAAGCAGAGGACTGGGCTGGAGAGAACAAAAGCGACAACATAGTGTCAGGGCAGAGGGTTAGACTTAGAGAGATGGTGGAGGTCGGAGAGAAAGAGTGACAGCTGTAAGTGCGTCATTATATGCTCTCGATCTTCAGCGTTGATTATGTAATCAATGTTCGTGATAGTAGCGAAGCTGTAAAACATAACCAATATTATATTTAGATGCGAAAGGAAAGCACTATTTTACTTTATGATACAGTTGATAGTAATCTGACATGTCTATATTGCTTTTAACACATTGATATAGTTTTTACAAGTATCTGAATGCCTTATACAAACAATATAAAATCTTTTACAAGGTGAATTTTAGTCTGTCTTCAAAGTTATAATCTAAGTATAATACTTTAGCTTATAATGTAAGGTCATCATAATGTATTCAATGAATTGTAATGATTTATAACACTCTTAGAGTC